TGTAGTATGAGCCGGTATATGAAGAAGTAGCCTGTGTTACACAATCATGCTTTCGGCCGGATTGATGTGCAACTGTTACTAATTACAGGGGACTGCGCTAATGCCGACAAGTCGCGCTGTCCTGATACACCGCGAATGTGCGAGTGTTCCCTGTAGACAGTCCGGAGTCATTTTTTGACACATCCAGGAGCCAAACCAAATACGTTCATGAACCGAGTCCAAAAAACCGAAACGTGAAAATCGGATGATCGGACCTGATGTACATTTCTCTTTCTATAGATTGTACACACAATACACACATCTTTAGATAATCTGGCCATGGCAGGTTAAAAAAAAAGTAACCCTGAATCATACTAGATTAGCGTAAATGCATGTTAATGCGTTCAAAACAAGAAAAAAATTGTTTCCGGGTATTAATCTCTTGAATCACGGCGCTGAATATTGACGCAAAAATATTTCGGGCATCGCGCGCCCTTCCCGCGTCACGTGTAGGCATCTCGCATCTCTGATTGGTTGTTGCGTCTTAAGATGACTGAGCCGACGCGCGTTTAAACAATTTTTCTTTGTTCGATTTATCACACTTCACAGAGAATTGTCGCCAATGGCTACTTCTGTTTGTTGCAATATATAATACTTCACGGAGAATTGTCGCCTATGGCTTCTTGTTGAGTTTATCGTTGATCTGACACACGTGCTTCATCATACTGGTTAATCCCCGTAAATTTTAGAATTATGACCAACTTCAACATGTAATATTTATTTTTCCATTATCTAAGGTCCGTACCGTCTTGCTGTTGAATACGCCCATAGGGCCTGGGCTCGATAATTGCATGCATTCATACGCTTGAAGCGGTGACATGATGTTTTTCATTGAGGAGCTATTTTTACTGAGAAAAACACGACAGCACAATACGGCTCAGAATACCCTCGTCGAGGCTTGCCTGTGTCTATGTCCTTATTTGGATGCGATTTCAGAACATTTCGGAGAAGAAGTGTTTTTCTGTAGAAAAGGTCGGCCTCGAAGCACAAAGGGTTATCTTCAAAACCAGCCAATTAAACGACTGAGTGCGCAATGCCGCTTAACTTAGAAGCCACGTTTCAAACACATATGTTGTTTGGCATAAGATCTTATCAAAGGCTTTTGATTGCATACGCACTTTGTACCTTAGACACATCCACAAATATATCTGTCAAAGTACCAGGGCTCCTAATTTGGGTATTTGAGTGTGCACCGTTAAAGAAACGAGACATAACTTGAGTTGTAATGAATATTGGTGGCGTTTAGCGTATAACAGTTAGCATATAACAGCAACAAAAGACAATAATTTTTGGTATACCATATACATGACGTCATCATGTTTTATTGCCCTGCTTATTAATTTTTTTTTAAACACAAAATACAGAACTTAATCAATTCCAAACAAAAAAACTTTCCATTTCATAATTGTCCGGATCGAACCGAATATTGATTCGCTTTGATCCGGCTTCGAGCCGGATCGAGCAGGATGGTAGCCGGATCAAAGCGAATCAATCCGGCTCGATCCGGACAATTTTACCCTTGTGGGAATAGGGTTTAAGACTGTATTCTTTCATTAGATTCCCGTCCCTACCAATCCTTTTACATCTTCAGACAAAAGTGTTGGGAGTCCAATTGGATAAAATCTGATGAGGCTTACACCAATACAGGTTTTGGTTTACTAGATGTCTTGAAATTGTCTGAACTGTTTTGTACAAAATGCTTGCCAATGGATTCCTTTTACAGTCGACATTGTCAGCATGAAAGTTCATCTGAATTGGTAAATTACATAATGAAAAACTTAAACGTATAACCTGTCGGAAAACTTATATCGGGGAAACTGAGCGCTCACTAAAAACCAGGTTTCTAGAACATACGAGTAGACGACCCAGTTCTGTTGCATCTGAGGTGTCACAGCACATCCACATAGAATCACCGGGACACACAGTGGATCTGGAGGGGGTCGAAATCTTGGATACCGAACAGGATTACTTCAAGAGAGGCATAAAAGAGGCCATATACATCAAGGCACTTCAACCATCGCTCAACCGGGACGGGGGGCGATATCGACTTCAGACAACCTTTGACCCCTTGCTGACGTCACACGTGGAAAAAATCACGTGTCCACAGCATTTGGGTCAGATAGCTGAGGAAGACTGAGTGATTCAGTCGCAAATTTCTGGTGAGTCAAATTTTGAGTTGGAGAACAGTTTAAGTTTTTCATAGTCGACATTGTTGTCAACAAAGTACTCATTCGTGACGTCAGTGGGGTTTTGTCCACATGTGAACTTTTGGTGACGTCAATCTCGTTTGAGTGGTAGCTGATATGGTAAAATATAGGGTCATTTTGTCTGGACTTACCGCAAAACATCATTAAGTTACCTCTGTTGTTTCGCTCTTTGTTCTGGGCGTTAAGATCACATGTATCATGCTTCCAAGCTGGTACATGATACAGCGGGCACCTGGGAGCGATGTCACCAGTTCTTCGGACTTGGAATACAAGATAATCCCAGGATTAATCCTGAGATTTGAAATCGCCTCTTGACATTGGCGACATCTTATGCCAAATAGTCACGAACAGGTGTTAGAGGGTCCATGGTAGCGCTATGGTTTGCAATTGGCCCAATCGATATCATTCATCTAACATTTATTTTGTTAATGATGATGATGACATTTTTTATTGCAAATTCCTTAAGGAAGGTTACTTGCAAATATGAAAATAGATACACTCAACGAACATGAAAAAGGTGACAACGTGAAACATATGGCCACTCTAATATAAAATGCCTATGTTCGAAATCTGACATCTATTTGGGTTTGACTTCATGTGGGAGCAGTGGAAACCCAATCGAAGGACCTTAATTTTTCTGTAATGCATCGATTAAAGTTCTTGATCTGTGATTTTAAGAAGAAAGTAAAATACATTTTGCGGTATTGACATATCTCAGTTCTCTCCTAAAAATGAACAGTTTAAAGACTTATAACAACATTATCACCTGAAAGACTAGCAAGAAATCATTGACTCACCTGAAAGACTGTCTCATATTGACTCAACGGGAACCAAGCCTTTAATATACAGAGGCTGAGTTAAGTGGTCGGTACTGAAATTTCCCAAAGGGGGTCGAGGTTTAATTACAAACCATGACCTAATGGTACAGACGTCCCCTTTTGTGTTACATTGAACTTATAATGTAGTTATGTTAAATTGAATTGAATTGAATTGATTGCAAATATCCAAGTAAAGAAAAATAATTCCGTCCCTACTTGTGTGGCATTCATGCAACCTATAATAATGATAATTGATGATGTATCGATGTACTGAATAGAAGTGACCGGCCCAGTTTTCTGATGCTATCTCATTATCTATTATCGAGAGAGCTTCCAGTTGACAAAATTGATGGTTGCAGATACTATACTATCAATTACCATTTTCTGAGATGCAATCTTAAGTTAAGTAGAAAACGCGTTTTTTGTGTGCTACATGTAAGATATAAACTTGCAGACGTAAATATGATGGTAAGGTGAAAGCTCCTAACATACTAAACGTATCAACGTTATATTTATGAAAAATAAATGCGGAACTTTGAACATCTAAAATGTGTGTTACTTGTTGAGATTTTTGTTGTGGTGCGAAAGGACGTTGCGCTAAGTGTTAGATCAACCTTCCTGTTCAGATCTAGAGCGGCTGCGGTTTGGGCCGCCGGAAACATCATACTGTCATGTCCCTGTTCTTGTGAATAATTTATACAGGTCGCTACATGGAAGGTAAGAACCTAAAAGCGTTCTTAAGACTAGTACTGCGCTCTGGATTGACCCCGGCTCAATAGCTTGGAGCTTTGCTGTTGACATTGCAAAGTCTGTCATCCGTGATTACATTGTGGCTTACTCTATCTTCCTTTTTCTCAATTCCTTCCAGTTTTCCGGCTTGGTTGGCTCAATTTAACATTTAATTGTGCTAATGTTTGGCGTGTTGAAATGGACGAACAATTAACATGTTTGCAGCGAACGGTTTGTGCAGTTGACAAGGCCTTAGAAATGAAACGACACACATGAGCCGCGTGGGTTTGGTTAGTATGAAAAAAGCCTGGAGTGTTGTTGTCTTAAAACATGGATCTAAACCGTAAACTGTACCTCTAAGGCCCGACGCCTATCTAATCATCACAGATATACAAAGGTCACGGCCACACATAATTACTGCTTAATGTTGTTTACAAAGGCAAATTCAGCAGCGCTAGCCCAGGCTCAATGTAGTAATCATACAGTCAACCGTAGATACTAGTATCTGCTCTATCTGCGCGTACGATAACAACGTTTGTGCATATTTGGGCCAGTCACTGTCCTTTTCTTGGGGAAACAGCATATGCCTATGGTCTTCTACCATAATATACAAAACACTAGTCATTCTAGAGAAGATAGAAAATGTATGACCGTACCTGAGAAAGCCTGCCCGTTCTGGACACGGTGTGTGTTTGTGAATGACCTATCGGTTGAGGCCTTTGTTATGTCGTAATGGCGGCAGGCCACCCTGTGTATTAATTGTACCTGTGTCGGATCAGATTTTTGTGTACACGGAGTTACCTGGAGACCCGTTGTTTCGGCGTGTCAGTCTATTGTTTGTGTTAGCTCGGGTTCTCTTTGCTTCGTCTGGCCAGGTATGTTTACCTGTGGCATGATAGATTAACTAACTGTGTACGCTATAATAAGGCCGTCTTATATTCAAGTCCAACACTTTGAAATTATTGAATACGGTAAAAAAAACTTCGTAATAATAATAATAATACACAGTTTATCCGTGAGTGATTTTGACATTAAGACTTGTCCTCACATAAACTGTCAATGTCATTATTAATTCATGCCCTCTTGTCAATAGCGTATGTCAAGAAGACATAATATAGCGTGCGAGAAGATATTTCATTGTTAGTAGTTAAGACAACTAGATAAGATACCATTATGATTAGCAATCTACCCTTAGATATATTTAGATTAACAATCAAAAACGGTACAAGGTCAAGCATAGAGGGATATTTCTATGGTACTAGTAGTATTCAATGTTTAAGTAAGCACACCTACAATCTTGAGTTTAGAGAACTGCTATAATTTCTGTAATATCTATTTGTGATTGTTGAATATTATCTATTGCTGATCATGTCTCATTTTCCCTTACGTGTCTACTATTGATTTCGTGAATTGAAGATAAACAAAAGACTTCGAGTTTGACGTCATCTTCATCTATGGTAACGTACATGTATACGTAATCAAAACCGTCGGCCTTTCTTGGTGGCAAACCAACCAATGTTAAGTTTCTCAACAGAATTTAGACCAAAAAATGACTCTAAGAAATAATTTCAGCACAACATTTGCTTAGGATTAATAAAAACATGTCGACAGTAAAATTGTGACTGTACACAGTTGGGACTATGGAAAATATAGCGTGTTCGTCCGTCAGTATGTTCTAATTATGTTTTAATAATCACGGGTCATGGCCTCAAAGGCATCACGTGATCATGTCCTGTGTCTATGACTCACCACAAGAGCTGATGTATTATTACTTGTATATAAAGTAGCGGTGCACGTGGTTGCAAAATTGTGTGATATTTATTTTAAAAGCCGTTTATTTGCATCATAGATGTAGTAAAACAACTTCATAATGCGCTTGAAAGCTAGGCACCTGTACATTTTATACGGGCGGGCGTTGACCCGAAAGAAAACCGACCCAACAATTTCACGTACTGCACCTGCCGCATCTCTCCCCACCGGCGCACTTTTTATTCACAGGTTCCGAAGCTAACAAGAGACACGGTTTCTTGAGTTGCCTACCTTCCACATTCCTGCCAAGGGAGTTCGTATTTCTTTAAGACCATTGTCCAGACGTCACAGCCTAGAGCAAACATGTCCTTCAGCTGTCCAACGTCCCATAGCCCAAACAAATAGAGACCGTCAGGACATAGCACAAACAACCAGACTCCAGTCTCCATAGCAAAGTCAGGACAAAGAGCTTCAATGGCACGCTACCTTTACTCACCCTTGACAACCTTTCAACAAACTTAAGAAGCTGCGGTCTTACAAGTTTACAAACCGTTTATATCTCGGAGTCGCGGCTTTAGAAAAGCGGCAACATTTTGTTGAACCCGTTATTTAGAATCCAAAGGTAATGTCTTCAATCTGCAAGAACATTAGAAGAGAACAGTACACAATTCTTTATCATGCGGCAGCTACCTGTTCGGACTATAGGAAGTGTTGCTAAATGTACATGCGGGACATGAAAATCTAGGATGTAAGGCTTTAATGTTGACTACAACCATCGACTGGCTTTGTGGTGTGGCCATTTGCAGCGAGTTTATGGTATACGTAAAGACGGAAAACTGCCTGTGGGTCGTTAAACTGAGTACCCAGAGTAATGCTTGAGGAGATAGACACGTTAAACACACCGTCCACTGCTTCACGATACAAGTGTAAATGAACAACCGCGAAGAACCACTTTCTGTGAAAAGTGCTTCTTCACGACGACTTCCATGACTTCCAGCTATATAAGTCCAGTAATGGACATGGACTTCTGAGTAAAATACCATAATAGCGCAACATGGGAGAGTTATTTTCGCGACTGAGTGGTTTGTAGGCTGGTGAGCGGTCCGGGCGGCATTACTCTAGTCATTTAACTGTCATGTTGCTGATTTTGCACTATATCTAATGGAGCTCGAGTTTACATGTATGTAACGTTACATGCATCTTTAAAGGGAACGCTACATCACGTGACACGTAGTTACTAGTACATCTGTGCTTTTAGGGGACCATTTACATTTTCTTTCCAACAGTAACTAGGAGTTTTGAGGGGATCTGGATCATTGTTTTGTCATTTCGTTAAATATTTCTGATAACTCATAGACAATTAACACAATTCTTATAGACTTGATTTTATTGTTTAAACGTAAACATTTTCATTGGCGTGGCGGATCCAGAGAAATCTTATTCGTGAATTGATCGGAGAATAAAGCAGTAAGATAGACCTGTGCATTAAGAAAGGAGACTCCTAAAATCATAATTTAAATCAGATTTATATTATTATTTATATTATTTCTTATAATTATAATCAACGCTAAGTAGACATAAGCCTCATATACTGTAGCTACTGATAACTATTCATTCTTGCAGAAGGCGCGAGCATCAAATAAGTTGCAGTACTACTTTAAACCGCTAAAAAGCGCTGCCCTACAGGGGTCATTGCAAGCGTGCCAGTAACCATAGCAGATAATTCGCACACAGTTGCTTTAATGAGGTCAAAGTCCGATGGGTCAGGCAAAGTTCATCCACCACACTGACCACAACCTTTTGGCTACATGCATGTTGTCTACCTTGACCACACTACAGCCTTACCTTAAGTACTCAGAGGGATAGTGGTAAGTGTGGGTGATTTAAAATCAAGTCTTTGTGCTATCATTATCCTTAAGGGGGCGTGTCTGATGGTTCAAGACAAGTAACTAATCTGGAACTTAGTGGAAGAAACCAACACAAGAATATTATGCATGTGAAACGTTTTAGTGATTCCATAGTACAACTTTAGGTAGACAACTGTTTAGGATAGGTTAAGGTAAGTACAATTGTTAACGTAAGGGGGTGTGTCAGCACATGTTGCAGCTAACTACATCTAACTAAGCACAAGTTACATCTAACGTAAGTACATCTAAGTAACATTACATCTAACATAAGGGGGTGGGTTTGGGGGTGGGGGTTGTTCGAGGGGGTTGAGGGGTCAGTAATTTCATAAACCATTATACCCAGCAGAATAGACCATTCTGTGCTGATTTTTTTCAGGTACCATTTTTCAAGGCCATCGTACCTGTACCAAGGGACCACATCTGGCAAGATTTAATAGATGTAAAAGAAGGAAAATAACAACAACATACCAGTACCTGTGACAAGAAAACAAGTCGCTGTGTTCCACCATGGCCGGGAAATCCTACTGTATCTCCTTCCAAAACATCCAGGCTGCCCTGTCCACAGTCAGACCTTTCATCCACAGAACACCCGTCATGACCTGCAGTCATCTCAACCAACTTTCCAACAGGAACCTCTACTTTAAGTGTGAGAATCTTCAGAAAACTGGATCCTTTAAGGTATATATGGTTTTAAAAGACTTTAAGTAAAATGTTGAACTTTATTCCAACACAAGCAATTGATCAAAAGTACCAGGGAGTTTATATCGTCCACTGTCTCTGTTAAGTGAAACCTTGTGTGGGAATAAAGTTCAACATTTTACTATGATTACAACCAACAGAGATGAACTTTCATGACAATTTTATAATATTGTTGCAATTTATCATAACCATTAAAATGAGTGATCTCAATGCTTTGTAGAGATGACTACCACACTGTCACAAATACATTTTTTACCATCTTTTGACATCTTTATTTTGTTGACATTGAACAGTTTAGAGGTGCCTGCAATGCTGTCTCCAAGGTCATTGCGTCCAATCAGAACAGCACAGACAAAGAGCTGTCGGTTGTGACTCACAGCAGCGGGAACCACGCCCAGGCTGTCAGCCTAGCTGCCCAGCTGCAGGGGGTGACAGCACACATCGTCATGCCCAGCAACTCTCCAGCTGTGAAGAAAGAAGCTGTCAGGAGTTACGGAGGACAGATTGTAGAGTGTGAACCAACAGAACAGGTACCACAGAGTGTTGTCACAAGAAGTCATCCCTGTGTCTGCTATGTGAATCATTTCAATGAATTGTATGTTTTCAGACATTTAAAATCTTTTGACCCTTACAAGTGATTACTATTAAGTGTCTGTAACTCAAAGAAGAGAATATCAGAAGAACAAAAATTTGCCAATAAAACGGTTCAACAGCTGAGCACTTAAATGCAGGGACACCAACATGGATGTTTCTATACTGACATTACCCCCCCCCCCGAATGCACAATGCAATGAATGCAGAATTGTAGAGTATGCAAAGGGAAAAAAATCCCTTCAAGTAAGCTAACAGAAAAAAACTGAATGTTTGGTAACGGAATAGTTTTGTATGTTCAGTCTAGAGTGGACACAGCTGACCAGGTGGCTGAGAGGACAGGTGCGACCATGGTCCATCCTAACCAGAGTCCAGACGTCATGGCCGGACAGGGAACGATGGTGTTTGAAATACTAGAACAGGTTAGATCTTATAGTTACAGCCATCATACATGTACGATATCAACACTCTGATTTTAACTTCCATGTATGGTAGTATTGTTTTGGGTGGCTGAGCTGTGTGTATGTGTGTCTGTTTGTCTGGACGGAGTAGGTTGACTGCAGGTTGGTAGGGGGTATGACAGGTCAAAAGGTCAGACACAGGAAAAGGGGTGAAGGTGAAGGTTTCAACTTGTCAACTTGAGGGAATTGCCAAGGATTGCATTACGAATACTTCCCAGAAGTTTCAAATCTTTGATTTTGTATTAAGAGTCATCCATCAGGCCACACCAATTTAATTTCTTGGTTAACGGATTTTTCTAGAAAAATAATGGAGCGGGCGGGCGAAAAAAAAATAAAAATAAAAACAGGCCTAGGCATCTTATTATGGCCCAAAATGGTACGATAGGAGCCATGAAGTTAGCACACCAGGCTGGTTCAAAATTTAAACAATGAATTTTGAACTTTTAATGGTAGCACTGCATTGATAGATGGAATGACTGTAACAAGGTAGTAAGAAAAGGACTGTTTTCAACTGTTCAGGGCAAAATATGAGCATTTTGCAGTTGATTCTGAATTTTTATTTTTATTTGCAAATCAGAAAAAAATGAAGAGGCGAATCCGTTAACCAAGAAATTAAATTGGTGTGGCCTCAGAGATTCACATGACTTCAAAGAAACTCTTTAAGAGTTTGCGATACCCATACATACATAGTCTGATAATTTTTTCAGGTTAGATCAATTAAGCAATGAGCATGTAACGTTACTACCTCTCAGAATCTAAGCCACTTATCTCTCATCAGTTAAATTGTCCATCAGAAGAATAACCCCTGTCCTCCCTCCCCCAGGTGGAGAGAGTGGATGCCATCGTGGTGCCTGTGGGGGGTGGGGGGATGTTGTCTGGGGTAGCTGTGGCAGCAAAGGTATGGCTCATGAGTTATATTCATAACCTTTTGCTTCATTCATGTTTAATGTGATTTTAGCATTAAAACTTCCATGATTCAAGAAAATAACTATTTAAGTGGCATCTATAAAACAGTTAATGCCACTCTATTACCACATTGAACATTATGTCACCATGTCACATACATATTGTTGTAGTAAATTGTATTAGCAACCACATCTTTGATTTTGCAAAGATCTTGTAAGATTTTGATATTCTTGTTGGCAACAATGTCTAGCTGATGCAAGTTGGAGCCAAAAATTCAAACCCCAAGAATTACAAGGCAATAAATGTGTATCATATTAATACCAAGCCACTCTTCCTGTAGGAACTTTGTCCACATGCTAAGATCTATGCTGCTGAACCTAAGAATGCTGATGACTGTGCCGTGTCCATGTTGCGGGGAGAGCTCACGCCGCTACCCGCCCCTCCTGTCACCGTGTGTGACGCACTCAAGACCAGCATCGGTCCGCACACCTGGCCAATCATCAGGGACCATGTGGACGACGTCATCACTGTCACTGAGGAAGAAGTCAAGGTGTTCTACCCGTAATTGCATGTAGCTGTAGTTGTAGCTGTAGTTATAGGTGTAGCTGTAGCTGCACTTGTAAGTTTAGAAGTAGTAGTAGTTGTAGGCATTCACTAAAGACTTCACCAAACAGACATTTTGTTATTGTATAAAAGGTAGTCCCATACTCTAGGGCATGGTATTGCAGGGCGGAGCCAATCCCTCTCCTTCCACTGCCTCTTACTTCCCCAACCCAAGCCCATTTTACACCTGATTATAGTGAATTTTGATCTCAGGGCTCTGAACAGTTTTTTCCACAGGTTCTATACATGATTTGGTGTGGCTTGAAGTGATGTGTACCAGTGATACAATGTACTAGTCCTTTCCCTGTAGAATGATGGCTAGTATGTTTCCTGTAGGCTGCCATGAGGCTGGTGTGGGAGAGAATGAAGCTTGTGATTGAGCCGTCCTCAGCAGTGGGCGTGGCTGCAGTGATGACTGACAGGTTCAGAAGTCTCCCAGCTGACGAGCATCAGAATGTCGTCGTCATCTTATGTGGAGGAAACGTGGACCTAGAACACTTACCCTGGATGTGACGAAGGGCATTATGTTTGCTGTGAAATGAATATATGTATATTCAGGGCTCAATACACCACCTGCATATGCAGGTTAGTGCAGGTGAAAATTGAGCTGTACAGGTATTTCTGCACCTAACCTGCACTGGTCCATGTACTGGGTTTAAATACTAGTACAATGTACATGTAGGTGTATGTAGATCGTTATTAATTGACTTTTAACGCCAATGAATTATTAAACTTAATAATGGTAATGGTTTCTGAACAGTTTTAGTATGGTCCATACTTGCTAAATTCTGAGTGGTGCAGGTAAAATTTGTCTGTTGCAGGTTATTTTCAACACTACCTGTAGTAGTATCAACATGCAGAAAAAGTATTTCGATCACTGATATCATATTCTAAGACTCACAGATCCAATGTGCCAGTAGGGTGTATCCGAATGAGGGCCTGCATGGGGGGTAGTGATTATGAATTATGTAAAATTTTCGCCACCGTTTACGAATTACGTTAAAGTCTCAGAGCTGATTATGACTTTTACGCTTTGCGGCTAATATACTATTATGAATTGGTTTTTGGGACGCTGCCTACGGATTACGAAGACTAAAAAGGCCTGATTACTCCTTACGAAAAAGGGCATGCAGGCCCCCTCGATGGCCCTTGTCTTAACTCTTAAGTCAGCATCAGTGGACAGCTTTCAGCACCAAGGACAGGGCTATAACAATGATAAAGCAGCCTCTCTCATTGTACAATGCTGAACTTTATTCCAACACAAGCTTGTACACAAGAATCTAATTTTCTATGACCACTGTCATTCTTCAAGAGTCTTTATTGATCTTGTAAACAGTCATTTCAGTAAAGTTAGACTGATTTTCTAGGGAGCCCAAATAGACCTAGTACAAACACAGTAATAGATAAATAATACATTAGGAAAATGAAATTACAAATACACATATATATACTTTAATAAAAATTAAATATATTTGTGATACTACAAATAAATCCAAATAAAGTGGGCTACATAAAGTTGTTGTCTGCTATTTCACTATATATCCATATACGCAAAGCCTAGTATGAACAGGGTTTAAGAACTGTAACCATCATCATGTAACATTATAGCTACAGTTCTCTGCGTTCTTGCTTTCTTCAATGTTTTTCTGTGAAAGTAGAGCAGCATCAGTTGGTGTGCTGTCTTGGCTACTTGATACATAGATCATACCAGTTCTGTCAGGTTGGCCCTCATTGTTGGTCAGTAGTGCAGTATTATAAGCTGCACTTTCTTGTGTGTGTCTTTCTTCAAGGTTTTTCTGTAAGAGTAGAGCAGCATCAGTTGGTGTGCTGTCTTGGCCACTTGATGCGTAAACCATTCCAGTACTGTCAGATGGGCCCTCATTGTTGGTCAGTAATGCAGGATTATAAGCTGTACTTTCTTCTGTGTGTCTTTCTTCTTTATATATCACTTCACTAGTGGCTAGTAAGGCCTCACTAGCGGTCAAAGTACCTGTTTCTTCTGAGCTTACAGTGTCGTGGTTCGTTGGTATAGCTGCCCGGTCAGCATGCGAAGTGTTTGCCACGGGTGTTGCCTCTGTAACAGTTCTATCACTACCATCACTACCACCTTTTGGACAAGATTTGTCAGCAATGGCTGCCAGACTAACTTCAGCGTACGGTTCCACGCCTGTACACCCCAGTTCATTCGGAATCGTCTCGTATCTGCCCGCCTCATTAACATATTGGGGATCGCGATTCGCCTCTACAATCTGCCTGACAGAATGCTGGTCATCTATAATGTTTGTATAGGTGTGTTCGACCTCATGATTCGAATATTGAGGCTCTTCCTGGCTCTCTGCAATTTTGGATAAACTTGTTTCTTCGTATGGTTCAATATTTTCAATGCCAGCTTGGTTTGCTGTCGTTTCACTGGAGCCAGTTAGTTGTTGACTCGGGTTTGTGGTGTACATTTGGTTCGGGCTGAGTAAGTGTCTTGCTCTCGATGCTTGTTGTATGCCAAGCTGGTGAGAATTGGTGGCGTACATGCGGTTTGGGACAAGCGGGGGCCCGTGCCTCAATGCCCGTTGCAACCCCAGATCGTCCCGGCGCCGAGCTCGATACCGAGTCAAGCAGCACAGCAAAGCTGCAACAAGGGCTGTGAAAGCTACCGAGGCAACAGCATAACCTGTCACTGTCGTCGCTTCTACTGATAACGAACTGTCTGTTGTCGGTTCAGTTTTGGCTAACGTGGAGACTTCGGAAAGCCGGGGGACTCCTTGGGTAAACTCATCGTATTCTGTCGAAACTGGGGACAAGGATGTATTAGACGTCACTGACGTTGAATTGAATACTGAGGTGTTCAGATTTGGTTCCGTTATGAGTGTATAGTTCTGGATTGGCCCAGTGAGTGTGACTGTAGTTGAATGGCAAAAATGTTCATCTAATACTTGAAATACAACCTGTCCCGCAACGTGTTTGGGGCTCGCACATATTAACTTTTCGATTTCGTAATATTGCATTAGTTCGAAATACAGGCTGCTACTGGGACAATTAGGGCAACATTCTTTGAAAACTGATCTTGGAACTCGAACAGCCAGTTGTTGAATACTCCCACAGTGCCAACATTGCGACAAACACAGAACTTCACGTTTTAGCCAGCACAAGCGCGCATCACAGTGGAACGGGTTCCCACCTAGCTGTACGCTAGCGTAGTTTTCGGTGGGGAACAAGAAGGTCTCTTTTGGAAAAGACGAGATTTCGTTACCACTGAGATCAATGACGTTGATATTTGGCATGAAATGAGCGATAAACTTTCCCGAAACGTGAGTAATCTTGTTGTTAGACAGATCCAGGAGTTTTAACTGCGGTGCTTTAAACCAATGCCAGTGGATGTATGTAATTAGATTACTGCCCAGGTCTAGCGTCTCTAACTTTGGGAAGTTGGGGAGGTCAGAGATATCGGTGATATTGTTCGATGCAAGGTTCACCGATGTTAGGTTTTCTGGGTCCACATCTGGAAACTTGACCAGGCTACAGTTGTTGCAGACGAAAATATCAGGGCTGTTCACGATAACAGCGCTAGAATTCTCCATGTTGGAGTTTGCAGATACACTGCCCGTTACCGACATGTCTAGTAACAACAGGAATACACCCATTATAGCTTTCATTATGACAACTGTAGTCTTTACCAGACTAACTACGCTGGCTATATAAAGGAGAATATTTTCGGGGGAGTTTGGCCGCAATTGTAGGTTTGACTGTCCGCGGAGGGACTAAGAAACAACCTCCGGTTGGCCGGGCTCCTTTGGCCAATTTTACTCTCTTTTTTGCCGAATTCTACTATCCGTACTTCCCGTAGAAAGGCCTGGTGGAGGCTATGACAACTGGTCAAACTTGAATATTGTGTACTTATCTTGATGACCACGCCACAGTCGCTGAGCCTCAAAGTGATGGTTTCTCAGCACTATCTGCAAGTCTTCTAGATCTTGCAGACGCTTTGGTTTTCTTCGAAATTGAAAGCAACCGTGCTCCCCGTAGCTGTGATTAAAACGTGAAAAAAGTAACGCCATTAAAATTCTACAAATCAAACATTATCATATGTACATGTTTTTCAGTTACCGCCAGGACCATATATACATGTATAATGTACTTACTACAAAATGAAAACCTTAGATGCATGGTACCGATCGACAGCAATCTGATATCATGGCACATACCTTCCTCACATTCCCTTGCAGAATGAAGCCCTCGCAGCGGTATGCACTACTAGCAGGAGTTTGTGCCTTTTATATACGCCGAGAACTGTTCAATATTCAGTACATGTTGATGACTATATGGAAGGCTGTGGGTAATACCGAACGTTGTTTCCTGTCGATCCTTGAGCGACTCTGGGTAAATTAAGAGTAAAACTTTGTCCTTTTTGTCCAGCGCTTACGATACGGTGGAAGAAAAGTGCCAATTTCTTCCGAAAAGTTAGAATGTTTGCTCGACTTCAGAATAACATCACAAACCGGACACGTTTCCTTGTCTGGAAAATGTGTCTATCCGGAAATTTTGCCAGACAAATTAAATTTTTGCATGCCTTTGATTAACGTCACAAATTGGATATTTTTTCCGGTGAACGGATAAGGCGTTACATGATCGGTTTGAGGATAACCTATATACCAGTAGATCTCGGAAAAATTAAATCTTTGCTCGGTTTTTAAAAGCCTGGATATGGTTTCTGCTGCTAGTTTGTGGTTAGATCCACCGAGATTTCCTTGGACAAAAATAAAACGGGGTATGTTTCTGGTGTTATAACACAAGATTTCACATTTAGTTACAACCTTGTAACACATAGATACAAAATGGTTAATCAATCCGAATACATTTCAGTAGACGAGGCTTTATTATTATTTGACAGTTCATTTGGTTTTGTTTGCTTGATATCGGTTCACAGTTTTAGTTCAGCCCCATGTTGTCAATAGATGACTTCGGCGAAGCGCATGTCATGATGGTTGCAAGTAGACTAGTATAATACTAGTAGTAGACTTGAATACTAGAAGGACTCGCGAAGCGATGGCAATGTTATTTATATCTTTGCTACGTCCTTGGCACTGTTCGGGCAAGGAGTTTAAAAACTAAAGGTAAACAGAAAGTTCATGCGCGAGGCTATATTGTCAGCCAGTCTCAAACGACTCTATGACTTCATTGCGCACTGAAGCTGCCAAACAGGATTCATGGCTCAGTTCCAAAATTTACAAATCAAATAAAAGTCGAGCCTAAATTCAACATACAGAATAATTCTAAAGTCCAAGTTTAAGTTCATTGTTCAGAGGACCGTTGGAGTTATGGGACCTGCTTGGCAGCGGTGGCAGTGTGTCGTCGGCGAGCACGTAACTTGTCTTCCCGATCTCCCCCCCACACTGCGCACAACCTCGGCACTCTTCCTCACCACCGCGCGCCATCTGGCCCGGTCACTCGCCGGTGTCTCCAGCTACTGATGGCTGATACCCGCCAGACCAAGCAGACGTTTTAATGTGCCCTTGTTAAGGGGAGCAGAATGGCGTCCATCTCCAAGGTTTGCTGTAAAGACATGTTTCTGAAGGAAGAAGTGGACCCAATGTTACTGACCACGCTAGACGACTTCACTAGTTCTAGCAGTAGTTCTGTAGAAGTCTCAAACCCTGCCGACTTCGTCCGACAGAACGGTGCCCAGTTCTCCGTGTACAGTGTGGACTTCGACAGACGCGTGTTGGGACTGGTTAGAGTTAGAAAGGGAGTGAATATCCAGAGAGCCCCGTTCTTCTTTCAGGTGAATACCATTATAACATGAAATTGGAGACTTAAACCTCAAAGATGTGTCGTCATTATATTCGAAAAACCAAATGACGATCTGACGTACTTTCAATAGATAGAGCTTTGACAGTAAACTTGCAGACTGACAGGCCGAAAGTGCACGAACCTACTAGTAACTTAAGTAAAAACGTTGAACTTTATTCCAACACACAATTTTACAGATAAACTTCCATGATAACTACCAGTAACTTCTTGTGACAAGTCCTAAGCATTGGCTGTGTGACTAGACCTTCCTGTCAATCTGCGGTTACAACACCTGTCACTTTACTTCATATTTTCTCTGACCCTGAATGAAAAACAACAACAAACAAACAAACAAAAAGTGAACTGTAGACTAATTTGCTCTTCTGCAGACTAATTTTATCTTCTCATGAATAAACAAAGTTCAAACAAGCAAACTTACAGGAAATATACTTCCTAAACTCATCGGGAGAACGCAGAGGAACTATTCCTGCTTCCGCGAACTGCAGACTAATTTCAGACCTAGTTGATCTTCTCATGAATAAACAAGGTTCAAACAAGCAAACTTATAAATTAGTGCATTCCAGGCTCAGCGGGAGAACGCAGAGGAACTACTCCTCATCCCGTTTGACACGCTGCCTGCAGTGGCAGACGCGGTTCGGAAGGAGGCTGCAGCAGCCAGAAATATCTTCCTGCACAACACTGGTGAGAACACCTTCAGAAAAAAACATATCTAGTAACAATATAAAATGAGGAAAGAAGTTCAAGCCAAGGTTTAAATATGTCAAAGGAACAAATAAAACATGGCAGCATAGAACTATCGCAGAGTGGAACTCACTGTCACCAAGTACAGTAGGGGCATTGTCAATAGATAGCTTTAAACAATGTCTAGAGCTAGAAGTTCAAGGGTTAGGTGTAACAAGTCGATCGGTGTAATATAGCCAGCTGCCGCCGCGCCGCGTGCCTGCGAAGCTGGTGTGTTACGCCGAAAGGCGGTTATACCGGCTATACAGATACAGATACAGAGCATACAAACAAGTTGATAACTCCATTACTGTCACAAGTAGTACAGATTACAGACCCATTAAAATGTCCGAACTTTTTCCATACCTGTGTTCCCAATTTGAAACGCAGTACTGCACAAATTGTGCCAAGAATAAGACTTTTAGATGTCTTTACATACCAGGGTAGTATCCACACTTCCATGCAGACAATTAGCAGTTTGACACATATTATGTTAGATGTGTAATGTTTGGACAGGTCGATGTGGTTCCACGCTGCTGTGTAAAGCAATGGAGGCAACAACAGAAGTACAGGCAGTGTCTGAACCTGATGTGTACACATGGATCTATGTGGTACGTATATGTACATCACACTTCTAATCTGGAAAATGAAGAAGGCATCTGTCCGCATCTGTTACAGTAAGATATAGTGCTTCCCACGCTATATGGTGTATAGGGTAGCCCATCTCAGTTTCTAAAGCCCTTGGGCCACACAGCTGTGCATGCATCTATTAAAATGTACCCTAATACATGTATGCATGCATAATGAAATACAATCTGACCATTAAAGCTAGTTTTTGTGAAACACTTTAATAGTACTATATCTGTTGTTGATATTTTAAAAATTACATTGAAAGATCTTATGTCTACATATTTAGGTTGGTCTTGGCAGTAGACATATGATAAGATTGTAGGAAATGAGCATTACTTTGTTTTAACAGTATGCCCAGGCCCATGACTTCAACCTTACTCCAGCGGAAGAAGAGGACATCCTTATGGTACTGAGATGCAGCACCATTCTACTCAACTTTTACCTCCTGCAGAACGACCAGTCAAGACCAGTCATCTGCTACAAACTCCGAGGCTTCGCCATCTTCATCGCCGACCTTCTGCAAAGGACCATTCCTGAAGCCAAGACAGTTTTTCTATACAGAGATCTTCCAGGTTTCTTTGACTCCTGGATTAGTGTGTCATTTTCTGGTAGTTACTGGAAGTATTTCTTAACGACAGCTTTAAAACTTGACCGTTTCTTCCCTGCTCACAAGATGATGCATATGGTAACGTACTTTTAAAAGGATTACATAGATGACCCAAGCCTGGCCACATACACTGGTAGAAGAGGTATACCCTTTTTCTTTGTTGCGACTTGGCTGCTACGTATGCAGAAGGCTTATGAGTTGATCAAAAATGATCCGGCAAACTTCTTCCATGCGTGCCTAAGGTGCGACGAGTTGGTAACACAGAAGGAAAAGATTGTCCTCGACATTATGAAACAGGTTGGCATTGATGCCAGTTCTGAGGACTGTTCAAAGATGAGGGAAATATTTGGAGTGAACAGCCAGGAAGGTACCAGCATGTGTAGTGTGAGGAAGATAGGGGATGGGTCAGACAGTTCTTGGGTTGGAGCCTGGGAGAGAAACCTGTTCTCAACTGTTATAGATCAATTTCAAGGTGACATTGATGATCCAGAATTTACACTGGAAAAAGCAGGAGCAAGTACTTGAGCAAATAATATCATTACTGTGGCAGTATAAACTGGATAGTGGTGCATACCGGTTCACTGGACTTGGATCCGGACTTGTAAAAATGTTTAGGTTCAAGTCCCAAAAAAACTAAAAGTCAAGAACCGAGTCCGGACTTATTACCATAAAAGACCATTTCACATACCACTTTTCTTTTTAAACCACCTAAAACCTTCCGTAGATTCCAAAATCTTTGCTGCAAAATGAAGAAAACATTGCCATCAGGCATCGTCAAGTACCAGCCTCCATGTTATGTGGCCAAAGTTTCGCCCAGACAACATTGCAAGGTAGCCAACATGCAATTTTGTATATGCCATGGGTTTACAAAAATGTAGGTCCGGACTTAAGTCCGGACCTGAACCTAAACCTCTGGACTTGAATCCGGACCTGAACCTGAAATTGGGTTTAGGTATGCATCACTAAAACTGGACCAGATACAGTACACATGCACTGCATCGGGACATCAGCAGACATACTGCGCCTGCACGAACATGGAATTTTGTTGTTTTTGTTCACTACTAAACTGTTAACTTAACCCTTGTCCTGATGGCATTTTTTACACAATATTTTTCAATAATTTCACGTCTTAATCAGGTCATAGACCCCTGACTTTTTTGCCCTTGGTGGCGTAGTTCGCGTCAGAATTTTGCTGATTGCAGACACAATATCTTTTCTGACACACCGTTTGAAAACTATAGATGCGCAGGTGCAGTAGGTTTTGCCGACATGCTCACGTTGCCTTGGTATTGTTGTTTGACTCTGCATTACCCATAATGCCAAGCGTCTAGATCTCCCAGCATGCAATTGGCCCCCCACCCAGCCCCCGCTGAAATGACTGGACTGCACAGTTCAAAGGTCACGTACAAAAAGTTTTATTTTTTTGGAACAAGATTTACAATGCATGATATACAGTATCAAACTCTAACCTCTAAGAGGGTAAATCACTAGCATTTGGAAGTCTATTCTTACCAATAGTATATACTAAAGGTTAAGGAAGAATGGCAATTTGAATTATTATCTTATGTAGATAGTAAAGGGAATTGAAATGGCACCCCTTATATAAGTAACTGCATTAGGAATATCAACTGTACAGATATACAATAGTTAGGACAAAAGGACAATTTTAAACTGCAATAGTAAAGTTTTAAGTTGCACTTAGAATGACAAGTACACAACTTGAAGTCCTCAAGTATTTATAAGTCAATGTTTTAGTATACAATTTGTTAACTTCTTAAATATGGAAGGAAATGTTGCTACTCATTGATTATTAAGTGGTCCTTCAATTGAGAAATCTGTGTTATTTTTGATATGAATGTTTTGAAATTCAGTTCATCTCTTATGGTTTAGTCATATTCTGAGATACCTCTGCTGCTGTTCTATTCTGTGTTCTTCCTCCCTCCTGTGGATGTCGTCTTGTTCGAGTTCCTCGTGCGAGGGGTGCCACATGCGGGACAGGGCGCGCTCCATGGCGAAAATGTACACGGTATGGGACGGCACTGCCGATCTGTTCACCTGTAATCAGGGTTTTTACAGTAAGGCATCGAAAAGTTCAAGACAATTAACAGTAGACACACATAGGAAGTATATGGTGTGTAATGGCACTGCCCATTTGTTAGAGTTTTTACAGTAAGTGCTCCAAAATGGCATGGCAAAAATGTTGACATTTTACAGTAGGTTTTGAACACTCAGGGCTCGAAATACTGGGTGCATGTGCACCTTAGTACACCCAAATTTGGAGCTTTCTACCCAATTTTTTTCTGTGGGTGCACCATTGTACCCAAATACATGTATTTTTAAAGGTTTATGCTTCTAAAGAAGTTAAATGTATACAATATTCAAGTGTCATATAAATAATGAAATCATGCTAATAGCACTTTTCTTTACAAATGAAACATAATTAGTTTTTGCTGACATTCTACTTATTTTATCTTACATGGTGCACCCAAAAAATTGCACCAGTGCACCTATTCCCCCAAAATGAATTTCAAGCCCTGACAATACCACGACTACCACGTGACTCACCCCCAGTCCCGTCACCACGTCCTGTAGCGAGATGGGCGGTAACGAGGGCGGTTCCTCGCTGCTATGGCACGCCGCCAACATGGCCGCCTCCTGTTCCCCCTCCTCCCATGTGGACCTCATCCCGGGGATGTGGCCACTACTGATGGACACTGTCGTAGCACTGCACAGCACAACAAAAATCAATTTCAAACAGAGCCTAATACTATAAACCTTGCCTTGTTACCAAACCTGATTTAGCTCTAGCATCTCTTGAGAGGACAAGAGACTTTGAAGCTAAATTAGGTTTGGTAACCAGGCTATTCATTATGATATGCATGTACCATTGAATACTAGAGTTTTCCTTTAATTTTACACATACACACCAGGATTTCAAAGATATGACTTGGTACCACAGACATGGTGGTACATGTACCATAGACATGGTAGTACACAGACATGGTAGTACCACAGACATGGTGGTACCACAGACATGGTAGTACCACAGACACAGTAGCACCACAGACACAGTAGCACCACAGACACAGTAGCACCACAGACACAGTAGCACCACAGACATGGTTGGTAGTACCACAGACACAGTAGCACCACAGACACAGTAGCACCACAGACATGGTAGTACCATAGACTTTGTAACTACCTTTCTGAAGTGGAGGGAAGTCTTGCTGCGTTCCTGAGACATGACTGTGCGGAGGTTGTCCCCATCCCGTATCTAAAGCTGCCTTCTCTCGTCCTGTAGGCTCTTCTCCTGGTCAGTATGGCACTCAGGATGTCCTTCAGACAATTCTGTGGTCAGACCGCAGGGGAAAAGACATGACGCACATGTTGAATGTGATAGACTGAATTTCTCCTGCTATTCCTTATTCATCAGATAGGTGGCTGCAGAAATCCATTATTGGTCCGTACAGGAAACCAAACCAACATTGAAAATCAAACCCTGGTTAGCTATACACACCAATTGTCATAGCCTTCAATATGTGTTTTTTTGTAAAACTATGTAAGTGTAAGCACTCTGTACAGCTATATGTTTCTAGATTTGTAAGTAAGGGTGGGAATCAAGTAACCTGTATGTGACATGATTGGTATGTTACATATTTTCTGACCCTTACGTCTTCCTGCATGACCTCAATAAAGAGCAGAGAGTAGGCTGATTGGACTGTATTTCAAGGAAAAAAACAAACAAACCTCCGTAGCGTACAGGACCAGGTGCACGGCCTCGTCCTGAGTCTGCTCCAGCCCGCACTCCCAGGCGGTGACCATCACCCGACCGGTCAGCATGCCCAGGTCAGGTAAGGTCATCTGTCTGGCACAGAACCCCACCAGCTCGCTCTCCTGGTGGTTAGACTTGATGGTGGTCTCAGGCAGGTCCATGAACGGACTGGCTGGGACAAACCGGTGCTGAGGAAAACAGAAAAACATGTGTCCTATGTACACAGGGGTCTCACTAGGCCGTTTGAACATAGGGGCCCCCTACACTGTGATTCTAATCCCCTACGCTATGATTTAGCCCCCCTACACCATCTTACAACCAATGTAGGGGTGTGACTTCTAGGGGAGAATCCTATGACCCTTTGAAAAACCTTTAAAAAATAAAAAATTTGACTTGTTATACCTGGGCTACGATATTGAGGTCATAGCAATGATACATGCTGCTTTCTATGTGTAGCATAGAAAGAGTGTGTTAAACACACCAGTTGACTAGCCCTCTGCTGTTCAAAGTGCTTGCACAACTGTGTGGCCCGTGAGCTATAGAAACGGAGAAGGAAGTGGGAAGGATTTAACTAACTTAATTAAGTTCCTCTTCAGCCAAGTTACCTAAGGACAGGTGAAGCATGATAGAGGTCATAAAAGGTTGTATGCTTACCTCAAAATTGCCCTTTGGAGTTTTTATTTTCTTTTTGACTTTTGTTTTCTTGAGTTTTCCAGGAGGAAGAGTTCCTACAACTGCTGCCGCCTCCTTGGTGACAACTGAAAGAAAACATGTGTCATAGACTCTTACAACAGCAAAGAAAATGCACACTATAATTCCATTTCATACACTGAATGATCTACCAGTACCTCCATTCTGCCTTTAGAGTGGACATAGTTCATGTACATACAAATAGAAAAATAAGATACTCCTCCTCACACATGTTCTACTGGTGAATGATTACCACTGTTACACTTGAGATATACAAATGTCTGGGAAGTATTTTCTCCATGATCTTGTGCAGAATTACATGTATTGAGTGACTACTTACTGGCCTTCTGTTGAGGTGTAAACTTGCCAGCCTTCTGTTGTGCAGGGCTGGTCTGCATGGCCTGGCATTTGGCCAGGATCGCCAACAGGAACTCATTGTGAAAGTGAACTATGCAACGAAAAAAAAAAATCTTTTAAAAAAAATTCTGAGCATATCAAATGTATTGCTTCAAAGACATCAAAATTTAACTATTACACCGTTATGATTGCTTACAGTTTGGATGCACATCAAATAACTTTTGTAAACTTGTGACCTACCATTGTCCTGAGTGAGCAGTCTCCTGGCCTCCATGTCAAACTCCTCTTTGCTGATCTTCTGTTTGTACCAAAGTTTCATGTTGGCCCAGTACCTATAGTTTACACACATAGAGATAGACACTTTCTTCAGCAGAAAAAATAATATTTACCTCCAAAATATATCACTCTCACGTACGTTAATAATCAGAAAAAAGTTGCATGAGAATCACGTGTATTTTTTTATATAGTTATTACAGTGAATACACTTGGCATTTGGCTAAGGAAATCCAGAAAAGTGTACTCTCATTTTTGACAACACGTCCAAAATACACTGCCCCCCTCCCACCCGTGTTTTCAAAGCTTCGCGTTTCCCGCCACAAACTCGGCTCACAACAAGCGAAGGAAGACGTTTCCTTTCAAAATAACTTAACTCTGATATTCTTAAGACTCCAGCCCTTGTGTAGAAATAGAAAATACGAGTCTTACTGCTTGATATTTTCGCCCAGCGCATCGCTAAGGTGTTTGCGAGCGACGTTCAGGTCCACCAGCGCAGCCATCTTTGTCGCAGTGCATTATGGGAACGACGCCTACCTGTCAAAGGTTCAGGCCCCGAAAATGCTCGCCTGCAACGGAATAAATTTTGTGATTGCAGGTAGAAATTAATAAAAGTTGGATCTTTTTTACAATGAAGAATTTGAAATGGCTGTTAGAGAATTAGACAGTATCTGTACATTACAATATTCGGAGTCTGTTCAAAATCCTTGCTATTGTGTGTGCAAAAGTGACAGTAAAATTTTTCTGATAGAATAATAGTATTATATAAAGCAAAATGCATTAAAGTGGAGTTTTTTCTATTTTTCCCTGGCGCGTGTGTAACATTTTTGTGTGTCACGTTTACTACTAGTACGCCTTGTATAGCTGCAATAATTATTTTCATCACTAGAGACCCTCACTGCGACGTCCGTTTCAATAGACTGAACACGCATCTTGAAGAATAACATGTGAGCATGAAGCATAAGATTATGCAGAACCATTGTAAAATTGCGAAAAAGGGCTCATTCTGAACGTTCGCACACTCCTTATATTTTTAGCCCATATCTTCATGGTTCTTCGCGAGATGACACACTTCATATTGCGATTGGCCACGGCAGTCCGACCAATTTCCCGACGAGACAGGCCACCGGAAAAGCTCTGATGGAAGGCATATGTGTGGCCGAGACCGTGTGCTATTCTGTATTTATCGGTATAGCCGGTGCCTTTCGGCGTAACGCACCTAGCCTCCACCAGGCCTTCCTACGGGGGTACGGATCCGGTAATTCGGTAAAAAAAAAGGGTGAATAGTTGGCCAGGAGAGTCAGTCCGCGAGAGTTTTAATTTCCTTCCTAACTGCGCGGGCAAATGAACTCCACGCTGGCTAAACTCCCCTAGTCAAGTTACTCAATTATTCTCCCTATTGGCTAAATTTTACTTTTTTGACCCCGCGTTGTTAGTCGGTAGAGCGATTGCTAACGTTAGTCTCTACCAGACTTCTAAGAAGGCTGAGTAATAAATAATATAGCCTCTACCAGACCTCTCTGTGGACGCTCCAAAATCTCTGTGCCTTCAATCGGACTATGTACAGAAAAATGCAGGTGTCAGCAAAAAACAGAAGATCATTAAATCTACAGAAGTTTTAATGAGGTGTCTCTTATCTTCTCGCGATCTAATGGTGGGTGTGGCTTGTTGTGGCAATCTCCCATTGCCTGGTGGGTTAATAAGACCTGTATAATCACCATGTTTGAATAAAGTCATAAAACAGTTAATCTATAAAGTATAGCCAAGGACATTAGTCACATTACACAGAAATGTCTTTGCTATAGCCTACAATTTTATGGACTTCGTCATGTGCGTTCAACATGCTGAAAATAGAAACAAGCTAATCCAGTCCAACCTACACAGAAAATGTGTGATATAGTTTTTTTTCTCACCCCATCCATTGGTTGAGAGTGGGCGTGCGTTTCGAGACACTTGGTTTGATTAACTTTAATGAACCGAAAAAAATAATTGAGTGGCGTACAGCGTATCTAATTAGCATTTCTGTTCATGTTGATATGCTAGGAAACACGAACTAGACGAACGAACTTTTGTCTTGTTCTGAAACCTTTTTACAAACTACCCAACTCGCCGAACTGCCCCTACAAGTAGATAAAGGCTACATTGATTACAACTGTAGCTTCGGGCGATGGTAAACTGTTTATCCGGTACAACACACGAGTCGAAAAAAAAAACTTTACTTTATCCTGACCCGTCCTAACGACCAGAGATCCTGTAACAGGGTAAATGTCTGGAGTTGTTTCCTTGGCGGTGTGTTTAGCAACAAGATCTGCCGAACGTTGTACTTGAGTTTGCATTGCTTGAATGGGAGCCGCGGCGATATATTTTGTTTGGAGAACGCAGGGGTTTTCAGTAGCCCGCAGGGGAAATGGTCGAAGTAACCAAATAGGGGTAATTGTTTGTCTATTGGAACAGTTCATTTTGCTTTAGGGGGGTTAAAATCTTAATTTGTTTTAAGAGTACATTGAAGATATATAAACTGACAGGTTACTACCTGTATTTACTCGTAAGTGCGCTGCAAATATGCATGTGGCTATTATAAATATACTTAAGCTACAAAAATGTTCATATCAAAGATCAGTTTACTCGTGAAATTCTAAACGCCCCCATATTTCTGAATCGATACGCCCCACAAGATGTTTTGCAACTCAGAAAGGCCCTGGGTGGCGTGTTTACTGCGACCTCTCTTAGTTGCTACGACCGCGACCACGGCTTCATTCAGTCTTCATTTCTGGGTAAAAGCCGTTTATTATTCCCCATCAGTCACCCATGTAGACTAGCGATGTCGTCCTGCGGGGACCCATGACAGAGAGCATGTGCCAGAGCGATGTGGTGCACGGGTTCGCGGTGTACCGGGACCGGGAGCTCTCAGCAACCTCCTGCAGACTGAGGACGACCTCGACCAGTTGCACGCTTCACGGGCGAAGGACGCGGACGCCTTCTGCGGGTGGATCCCGGACCCGCGCGCGCCCCAGCGCCGCCCTAAGGACAGCCCCAACAACAAACCCCCGCCCAAACGGCTCAGGAGCACCAAGGAGAGAAGACTCAGCCAGCAGAACCTCCGTGCGACCTACGAATTTCGACACTATCGCGACATCGGGCGCTACATTCAACAGTACCGGAGAGAACACTCCTGCACCGTGGCCCCTCGGGACACCAACCCTGACTTCACCTCGGACGCTCTGGTAGCACTTCTCAGAAAGACAGACTCACAGAAGTCCTACTTAATACCCCGAACAAGGGTCCAAGACATCCCGGGTTGTTCCTTAGAGCCGCCGAAGTTGGGAGTCCTCCGCAGAGCCGTTACGGGCACGTCCAGAGACTGGCATTCCTTCTCGGGTTCATCAGTATCCCGCCCGGTCACCGAGGAAGCGCTAACAACCAGCCATTCACCGCCTCAACTTTCACAACAAATTCCAGCCAGGGGGCCGGAAAGGGTGGTGGCCGGTTCTGGGGACGCTAGCCCGGCCGGCTGCGGCCTTATCCACTTCACCTCCCAGAGCCGACCGAGCACGGCAACCACGGAGAGCCGAGAGTCGGGGTCGAGCTCCAACAGTAACTCCAAATCCCTCCCGAACCCAGGAACACTCACTCTAGCGTTTAGCATCAACGGAAACTCAACCAGGCAGCAACAACAACGACCGCCTTCAACCGCTGCTACTGCTAACACTAGTAGTAACCGACCCGCCAAACCTCAATACACATCCATAGTGAGGTAAGTGTGGCAGAAGTAATCGTGAGTTTTGGAACCGCCCTTATCAAACCACTTGGGCAGTTCTTGAGACATACCTTTGTTGCGCGGACACGAAAATATGACCACGGCAGTCAATAACCACAGCACGGTAATCAGTAAAGTTGAAAAAGTTGCCGAAAGACTCATCTTTAGAATTGTATCTTATGTTTGCAGTTTGTGTGTCTATTTTAAACATCGCTGTTATTGTATTCTTGTGTCTCACGGGTCTAAATATAGGACGAAAACGCGGGCATTCAGTGGCGGTATTCAGTATAATTGCCTTGGACGATGTTCCCGCCCGTAGGCCCCCATACTTCGGCAATCGAGATGTCTTTGTTATTTCCGATGCTATTCCGCTGGTATTTTAAAACCTTACGGTAGCAAACGACGTTGTACTACTATATTGTGTTATCTGTAAGCTGAGATTACTCTTACAACGTTGTTTTCTTTCTCTACAAAAATTCTCTCGAGCACTCAAACGCCCCAAAATCCCCACAAATTCCCCCAACGTGTCAGTATGGTGACGAGGTGCACACTTTGCATTATTCATGAAAAATCCTTTATCGCTGTAAGAAGACGTAATCCAGATGACAGATGTTTACAGAAACATTTTATATAAGGAATTCACAACTAAATTTTCACATCGAAATGATTTAATTGACGAACTAAAAGTGGCGAAATTCCGTGAAAGATTTGCAGTCAAATTAGTGGCTTAGAGCAAGTAACCTCCTTGCTTCGAGCGTGCTTTCGCATTTTATATTTCTAGTGATTTAAATGCTTACAAAATACTCCTTGTCGTTGTAAAACAAGAAGCTGAGGTGTAAAATGTCAGAACAGAGGGAGATTCCATAAATTTTAGTCCCGCAGAAGTCTTTTTCCTATTGAACCGGCACGTTTTGTTGATGTTTCCTCGCTTGTATCAGCTGGAAGCTGTCAATAAATTCAAGAATGTCGCGAAAGAATGCAAACAGAAGTCCCGCGGGGCAGAATGTTAGCAATCTGGTGGTTCTTGTCACCGCGTTCCTAAAAACTTTTCTCGTATCGCTCAAATTAAACTGTAAAGAGTGAACATGTATTTACAATAGAAAGTGCAGCTACAGTTTGCAACGTTATACAAAGCAGATAATAGTGCTATAATTGAGTAAATAAAATTGAGTTTTTGCCATCTGATGAACAGCTGTAAATGGTCATTAACACCTAGTTGAAAATGCATGAAATTGGTGTAAAACAAGAACCGTTCCTTTCAAATTACTTTCTCTGAATCAAATGAAACGAAACATTCCTCCATTAGATCCAGTATTACATTTTTTATTATACCTAATTACGTTGCAGTATGTACGTGTGTGTTCTTTTGCAAGATTATAAAGAATGCCACATTGTATGCGGTGTCCTAAAGTTGAGGGTTACTTTCAAAAAGCAAAAAGTTGCAATATCGGTTTACGACGTTACGTAGATATTGCACTAATTTGCTTTTGAAAGTGGTACCTACCACTCATCGGTTTGTCTTTACTCCTGAATCTAGGTTAGCATCAGTATCATGTGTTGTCCGTATTGTCACCTACTTGTAACCCTTTTGAAAGATACAAGTAAAACATTAATCATAAGAACAAGCATCTCAAAACACTATAACAGTATAAGGAATGCGTGTAATCTGGCGTACGACTAGAACTAATTATGTCGATTTCAATCATATTGGGTTCATTTCGCTCAAACTTTTTTTAAAAAGTAACGGAATCTTCTCCGGTGTCCAATGATCGTCGAGAAGAGTAAACTTAATTCCAGTCC